AAAAAAAAAAAAGGAGCTGCCCACGGTCCACATCCTGAGGGGGGCAGGTCCTGAAAAGCCTTCTTGTTGCCTTGTTTCGCTGGCCCCTGGGCTCTGATCCTGGCGCCTCCTCCTCTCGGGGGCCTGTGTCCCCCCGGTGGCCTCTCCTCCCCTCAGGGCAGCGGCAGAGGGTCCCCCAGTCACCTGCCAGTCACACTGGCCCTTTGGGGCCCTGTGGGCAGCATCGGTCGCGTGACCCACAGAAGCCAGAGCTCCTGAGGGCGGGCGGGCGGCCGGTGCAGGGTGGATGGGGCGGGAGACGGCCGGCCGCCCACGTGCGCGGGGACCTGAGCAAGCGCCAGCACCGCCCCTCCAGACTCTGAGCCGCGGACGACGCCCTGGGCCAGACCCCGACCGGTAACTCGCTCTCCGTTGCCTTTGCAGGTTCCTGGGGTGCGGCACCCGGCCTCCCCATGACGCTGGAGTGACAGGTCCAGGCAGAGGGGCGTGCCCGCCCGGGGCAGAATGACCAAGACGCGGCTGTTCCGCCTGTGGCTGGTCCTGGGCTCCGTGTTCATGATCCTGCTGATCATTGTCTATTGGGACAACGTGGGCACCGCCCACTTCTACCTGCACACGTCCCTCTCCAGGCCGCGCCCCCCGGAGCCCCAGCCCAGCCCCGCGCGGGTCACGTCGGACATGGACGACTTCTTGGACAAGCTGCTCGGGGGCGTCACGAAGCCGAATGCTCCTCCCGGGAAGAGAACAGCGCGGCCCCCGGCGCCGGCCTCCGGCAGGCCCGGGCTGGGCGGCCAGGAGGAGAGCGTGCGGGGCTACGACTGGTCCAGCCGCGCGGCCCCGCAGGGCCCGGACGCGGACGCGCGGCAGGCGGAGCGCAGGAGCGTGCTCAGGGACTTTTGCGCCAACACCAGCCTGGCGTTCCCCACCAAGGAGCGCTCCTTTGACGACATCCCCAACTACGAGCTGAACCACCTCATCGTGGACGACCGCCACGGCGTCATCTACTGCTACGTGCCCAAGGTGGCCTGCACCAACTGGAAGCGCGTCATGATCGTGCTCAGCGAGAGCCTGCTGGACCGCGGCGCCCCCTACCGCGACCCCCTGGACATCCCCCGCGAGTACGTGCACAACTCCAGCACCCACCTGACCTTCAACAAGTTCTGGCGCCGCTACGGGCGGTTCTCGCGTCACCTCATGAAGGTCAAGCTGAAGAAGTACACCAAGTTCCTGTTCGTGCGGGACCCGTTCGTGCGCCTCATCTCCGCCTTCCGCAGCAAGTTCGAGCTGGAGAACGAGGAATTCTACCGCAGGTTCGCGGTGCCCATGCTCAGGGCCTACGCCAACCACTCGAGCCTGCCCACGTCCGTGAGCGAGGCCTTCCGCGCGGGCCTCCGGGTGTCCTTCGCCAACTTCATCCAGTACCTGCTGGACCCGCGCACCGAGAGGCTGGCGCCCTTCAACGAGCACTGGCGGCAGGTGCACCGGCTCTGCCACCCCTGCCAGATCGAGTATGACTTCGTGGGCAAGCTGGAGACGCTGGACCAGGACGCCGCCCAGCTGCTGCGGCTGCTCAAGGTGGACCAGCGGCTCCACTTCCCCCCCAGCTACCGCAACCGAACGGCCAGCAGCTGGGAGGAGGACTGGTTCGCCCAGATCCCGCTGGCCTGGCGGCAGCAGCTCTACAAGCTCTACGAGGCCGACTTCGTGCTCTTTGGCTACCCCAAGCCTGAGAACCTGCTCAGGGACTGAGGGCAAGAGGGAAGTTCCAGACTCCAGGCCGCCACGTGCATTTTTTAGGGCCTCGTGTCCCTCCCAGTCTCACGCGGGGCCGAGAAGCCCCCAGTGCTCCAGTCGCCGGGGCAGCTGAGCACCCCGGGGTGGACCCAGCCACACTCTGGTTTTTAAATGACCTGCGATTTCGCAGCCAGACTTACTGCTCACTCCACTGCCTGTATTCACTCAGTACTGTGTTAATATTGTTTTTTTTAAGATTAATATATTTCAGATATTTAACATGCGGCGGGAGGAGGAAAGAATGGAGTAAATTCTACACCTGCTCACGCCGCCTGCTGGTGTGGTCATTCGGGCGCAGTGAGAGTGCACACAGTAGGGCTCTGAGCCACGTCACGGCTGCGTTCACGCTCAGAAACACCACTGGGAGGGGCGATGCCCGGTTGTCCGCAGCACAGGGGAGCCCCCAGTGTGAAGTCAGGCCTCCCCTGTGTTTGTAAAAGCCAAGCAGACAGACTCGTCATGAGAGCGCCATGTCATTAGGGGGTGTCTGGAGGGTAAGCGGTTAGGTCAGGGTTTATATCTGAGCTCAGGTTGAAGGAAGCCACACTCCCAGGCCCCAGTCATGGGTGGGATGTTAACTCCAGGCTGGCTTTCGTGTCTGATCACAGAAGGAGGGTTTGGAGTCTTGGGGTGGCGGGGGAAGGAAGTCTGTCTAGAGCACATTGTGGCCGTCAGCAAGGCTAGGCTCCCCTGACCTTCCCCGCAGGCCTGGCTGGTCGGGCCCAGCTCCCGGCGTTCACCCTCGAGGGCGTCACCAACCCGATCATCAGTGTTTGATTGTCCCGACTTGGTGAAGCCGTCCACTAGTCCAGAGGCTCTTTGGAAACATCTGGTTCTGATTCCTTTGCAGTGCTGGCTGTGAACCTGTAATTGGTGAGACCTGTGCCGTCACTTGGTGGTGTTTGGGCCTCACCTCTGACCTGGGTCCCTGATGCCCAGCCTGAGGAGCTGGCCACATGCTCAGCAGCCCTCCCCGGGTCTCCTTGGTGTGCGGTGTCCTTGCTCCTGCGCCCGTTTGAGCCTGTGGCCTTAGGTGTGAGCAGACCTGGGCCTCACCCACCATGTTAGATGCCACCCGCCTCCTTTGGTGCGCTGGCAAACGCTCCAACCACTGAGCCACACCGGCCAGGGCTGTAACATTTTCTAAATTGGTATCGTACAGTTAGATGACTTAACCAAATAATTCCATAAACTTAAAATTCTTTAACTCTCTGCCTCTGTCCTCCAGTCCTCTTCAGCACATTTACCCGCTGACCTTCCTAATAACGTAGTGGTTTGTGCTGCAGAATCCTTTCGGTAATTGCCGAGCCCCCAGCATGGCCACAGGGCCCCGTGCCTGCCACAGCCAGGGAGGGGGAGCTGTGCGGGGCTGAGCCGAGCCTGCCCGGCACTTGTGCCTCTGGCCTCGCGGCTGTGTGTTTTGCATCTCCTCCTGGTATTTAGCACAGTTGTGGTTGTATGTGTGTCTGCGTGTGTATGACACTGTTGGTCCTGTTCTTAAAATGACTGATACAGTTTCTCGCTCATCGATACCGTGTATCCACTCCCCCTAATTGATACAGAGCATCTACCTTTTCTGTGTCGATACAGTGTATCTACTTTTGTGTTGATACAGTGTATCTACTTTCCCTGCGTTGATACAACATATGTACTCACAGCTTCTTCTGACTATTTAGGTGTTGTTCTGCTGTGGTGCCTTTGTCATCTCTTTTGAAGGAATTTTCACTCTGTTGAGTTTTAAGTTTGTTTTCAGCAAGGGTTAGGATCTTCTCTCTGCAGTGCGCTGTGCGCTGGCACCCACAGTCTGACTGGTGAGGGGGGTGCTTTCACCTGGCTCTGCCAGTCCTGGGGGCAGTTAGGGGCGCTGCCCCACCCTACCTGCCCTCCCCGATGCAGAGCTTCCCTGGAGCTGGTCAGCTGGGAGCACAAGGCCGAGGGGGAGGGCGGTGTTTTGGGGACAGAGCAGGGCAGGAGCCATGAGGAGCTTGGCTGTCCCACCCTCCTGCCCATAAAGCTCCATCTAACGCACCCACGGAGCCCACGGAGGCTCCAGAACTGTGCTGTGGGCTTTATCCTAGTGGAATCTGCAGACCTGGATGGGCACCCCCATTATGGCTTCAGTCTCCTTCCCACTTGTCCCGGGTGGAGGGCAGGGCCTGGCACGATGGGCCCACGATAACTGTCTACTGTGTGAGCGCCTGAGTGAAGGAAAGAAGGGGTGATGCTGTCAGAGCCTCACCCGGGCCTGTGAGCCAGGGGAGCCCATCACTCTACACGCGTTTCACACAGTGACCCGGCGTGGAGGTCCACGGGCAGTGCCACGTCCGGGCTCAGAGCTCCCTCCCCTGACTCCCGGCACTTTCTAAGCACCATGCCTGTGGCTCGGGAGGACCACTCCCGCTGCTCCTGGAAGTTGAGGCCCCCTCCATTCCAGAGAGGAGAGTCTCTTTCTTCCCCTCCTGTGCCCTCTCCCCTCTGGGAGCCCTGTGGCTCCCTCTCGCCTCCCCCGAGACGATGCTCTCGTCTCTTCATCTCCAGCCCTCTGCCGGGGGAGGCCTCACGCTTCCCTGGAGGGAAGGTGGGTTTCTGGTGGGACTTCCTCCTGGTCCTGTGCCCTCCACACTTGGGCCGGGGAGCGGCTCGGATGGGAGGCGGCCGCTCTTGGCAGACAGCTGGGGACGGTCTGTTCTCCTCGGCGGCCCCGCCCTGCCGAGTAACAGGCTCCCAGGCGTCACGCGGACCCGAGGAGGTCCGCTCCCCGAGCAAACACTCCAGGGGTTATTGCTCATTTATTTATAAGCTACATGTCCTTTCCACGCTCCAGAACCTAAAACTGTGAAGAGGTGAGTCTTGGCTAGCCTAGGTAATTAATCTAAAAGTGTCTAAATGTTTCCCCAGAAGGGGGAATCTGGTGTGATGACTGGGTGCCTTTCTGTTGCTTTTGCTGACACTCATCCCTCCTGCTGGTCAGTTCCTGCCCCTCACTCTTGGCCCAGGAGAGCTGAGCGGGAGCCATCGCGCCCCACACCGAGCTCTGGCTGGCCAGGCGGTCACGTGCTCACAGGCGGGACTCACAGCCCAGTCTGCACCCGCCAGACCCAGTGCCCTGGGCTGGAAATCCTTGGGGAGGGGCTTTGCCAGGCTGCTGGCGGGAGTGGGGAGTACCGTGACCAGCTCTGGCAGTCGTGGGAGAGCCGCAGAGATGGCCACACCTTGAGCACAAGGCTGAGACATGGGACATCCAGAGGACGTGCACACCTGAGGCCGCACCCATCTGCACTTGGCAGGCAGGTGTGGCCCATCCGTGCCCACTGGCATAGTGCATTCGAGCTGCGTTTCTGGCACTGTACCCACGGTAACCTGCCTCTTACACCTTGTAATCACCACCCTGGCCTCTGGGAAAGCAGGTTAAGATGCCTCATTAATGAAGAGAAGCCGTATGACCGGAGGTTCTTGTTCATTAGGTATGAACAGTTCATTAACTTCATGAAACTTAAAATAATCCCTCACTCTGCCAAGACCCAGTGACGGGCAAAGGTCCTCTACTGGGCACTGGTTCAAACCAACCGAGATGAACTAGGGACGGGGGTGTTTCTCCCTCGGGAACTATTCTTCACTCCCCCCTCCCCAGCCCAGCACCCACCCTCTACTTTCTCTCTATGAATCTGAGTCCTCCAGGTCCCTCATATTAATTGGGATCACACAGTATTTGTCCTATTGTGTCTGTCTTTTTTTTTTTTTTTTAAATATATCTTTATTGATTTCAGAGAGAGGAAAGGAGAGGAAGAGAGAGAGAGAGATAGAAACATCAATGATGAGAGAGTCATTGATCGAGCCTGCAACCCAGGCATGTGCCCTGACCGGGAATCGAACCCCAATCGCCTGGATCCTAGGTTCATGCTCAACCACTGAGCCATGCCCGGCCGGGCCCTATTGTGTCTGTCTTATGTCACTGAGCACAATGTCCTCAAGGTTCATCCATGTGGTAGCAGGTGTCAGAGTTTCCTTCCTTTCTGAAGCTGAATTCTATTCCGTTGTGTGGATGGGCCACACGTGTGTGCACACGCCCTGTTATCTGTTCACCCGTCTATGGACACAGGCTGCTCCCCCGTCGGCTGCCACGAATATGCTGCTGTGACGTGGGGGAGCGAGGACATGTCTGAGTCCTGCTTCCAGTACTCAGGGCACAGACCCAGCAGTGGAATTTCTGGATCTTTTGGTAATTCTGTAATTAGTTTTTTTTACAGAACTGAATTTCAGTTCTTTTTATTGCCAAAAATGCTTACAGATGGTGCCACGAGAGAGTAGCATGTAGTAGGTACCCCTCCATTGACTTTGCCTCCTTAAATTGCGTACAACATCAGTAATTAGGCAGGTGGCCTCGCCCTTCCATCAGCTGGGATGGGACGCCCCGTGGTCTCTACCCCAGCACCAGGGTCCAGTCCCTTCAAAGCTGGGCCGTGCATCTTCTCTGTGGGGAGGAGGCACTCCTGACGCACGCAGGGCCGGGAGATCTGTGCTGGGGGCATGCCCACCGGGCTGGGGACACCGGGGACCTTGTTGGGCTCCTGGTAAAACGGCGTCACTGTGCCCGGGGAACACACAGGTGCTGGTGCCGGGTGCAGGGAGCGGGGCCCTCCGCAGGCGGAAAGGCGGGGGGAGGGCAGTGGAATCCAAGTGCGGCGAGGCTTCCGTGTGCAGGGCACGTGCCTAAGGCTCCGGGGCCCTGGCCGGGTCCAGGTGCCCTGTTCACAGGTGACGCGTGTCCTTCCCAAACGAGCAAGGGCTCCGGGAGCCACTTCTTTCTGGGACATCGCGGCAGAAACTCCAGCTGTGACGAGACCCCCTTTAGTTCACACAGACCGGGGGTTAAACCCACCGCACGGAGCTGTTGCCATTTCCCACGGGTTTTCTTCAGTCACGCGCAGCACCTTGTTCTCAGGCGGTTTCCAGAATATTTTGGTTTCAGATCTTTGGGGCCCAAATTCACCAAGCGGATTTTCGTGTCAGGTTCCTAAGTGGGCTGGCTCTGAAAGCCGTCTGTGCGTCTAAAAGCTTTGGTCGAAAAATGTTCTGGGTCTAAAATGTTCCAGAAATATCTCCCAGAGCACAGAGCTCGTAGCCCGGTGGGAAGGGGCTGGGGCGGGAGTGGCAGAGGGGGCGCCGGGGCGGCGGCTCGGTGGACCCGGGCAAACGGGGCCACCCCCACCCAGAGGGTCTGCCCAGCCCTCAGGCGGCAAGTGGTGGGGGCCCAGCACCCGTCGCACGTCGGGCTCAGGCACGTGTTTGCGTCCGGGAATCGTTCCTGGGGGTCATTTCTCCTGCAGCCCCCCCCCAGGGTCATTCTGCTGACGGGTCCCTGTCCCTCTGCGCGGGGCCCATGTCCATCCTGACTGCGGCCTGCAGGCCTGGTTCCTGGGCTCTGTCCACCAGCGTCACACTCCACAGGGGAAGCCGACTTGCGACAGCTTTTCTGGGAGGGAGGACCACTTGGGAAGAAGCACATTGGCGGAAACCCTCAGGCTTTGCAGCAGGTTCTTGTGGAGTCAGGGCTGAGCCAGCATCTGCAGTAACAGGGGTTCTTGGTCCCATTTTCCAGATGGGGAAACTGAGGCCCAGAGAGGCTGTGATGACCTGCTCAAGCCCCATGTGCTCTGACCCCCTAGTCTGCTCCCCCAAACCTTTTGCCGTATTGGACTCAGGCCCTTCCCAGGATCTGTCTGCAGCCACACGTCCCTCCCTCCCAGGCGCCCTGGGCGTTGGTGCCGGGCCCAGCCTTTGGAAAAAGCCAACCCAGGGTCAGACGATGGCTGGGAGGAAGACGGCCGCCTTGGCCTTGGAGGCCTGGCCCTCAGACCTGTGACGATGGGAAAGCGGGGAGCTGGCGGGAAGGGCTGCGTGTTCAAGGGGCGGAGTGATTGATGTGGCGACTCCGGCTCCGGAGTGTTGTCGGGAGGCCGGAGCGGCAGGAGGAGAGAGGAAAAGTCCAGCACTTAGGAAAACACCCCGCTCCGGGAGGGGAGGGGCCTTAGTCCCCTCTCACCGCCAGCGGCCCCACCCAGGGCAGCAGCGCCATCCGGGAGCCAAGAAGGTCTTGCCTGAAAGGTGTCAAGTAATTTCGGGGCCCCTTCCTGTCCAGCGGAGCTCACGCCACTTGGGTGGCAGCTGGTGACCGTCGGCGTGCCTGAGCTGGCTGCCGGCTCCGTATCTGCCAGGATGACAGGGACGTCCGAGGCCACTGCTCTGACTGGCCGTGAGCTCCTTCTAGAGCCAGTTCTGAGGCCCCCGGAGGGCAGATCTCAAGGCCGTAATCGGAAGGAAACTGGCCTGAAACGAAGGTATTCAGGAAGCCTCGGTCCAGAGGGGTGGTGGGTGCTGGCAGTTCCCCAGACCCTACAGCTGCCCGGGAGGTGGGGCCCCGTGCCCACAGCCGAGGAGAAGTCGGCAGCCCTGGCTCCCCCCCAGCCCTCCCCTCCTGAGCTGGCACTGCTCAGCCCTGCTAATGGACCCACGTGCCGGGGGTCACCTGGCCTGGAGATGGGCCCGGGTGCCCGGTGACATGAAAGCCTCGAGTTATTCTGCTAGGGGGCCCAGGAACAGACTTTCTGAGTCCTCTAGGCTCGGGCCACGGCGTTGCTGGCCGGGAGCAGGTCAAGACAGTCCCCGGAACCTCCCACTCTGGCCCCACTCTTGCAGGGTTCAGGCTGGGCACTGGGTCCAGTCTCCCCAAGGACCAGCGGGCTCCCAGGGCCTGGCCGAGTGCCCCTTGCCTTTGCTCTCTGCTGGCTCCCTGGGCACCAAGGCCCTGAGTGTCCTCTGGGGTGGCAGTTGAGTGGCGGGCAGGCCGCTGGATGTCGAGTTAGCACCAAGTATCCCCAGGGACTTGGATGTGGGCGCCTGTGGGCAGGGCTGCCCCCTGCGGTTACTTCCTGCTGGCGTCGGACCTGCCTGGCCTTTTCCTCCTGTGCCGCCTGCCCGGCCCCTGAAGGCAGCTGGGACCCTCACCTTGCTGAGGGGACAGGAAGGGCTGGGCAGAGTCCTGGCGCCAGCTGCCCCCCAGGCCCTTTCCGCTTGCTCCTGCCCTCTAGGGAAGTGACCCTCACAGAGCCTTGGTGGCTACCGTAGCTCCTCCTGGGCATAGGGTGCCCTTGGGGTGACCCTGACCCTCACCCTGACCCAGCAGGTTCATGACCCCACCCCACCTGTGTCTGAGCTGCCCACAGCCCACCGTCTCGGGCCACATCTGACCCATCCTCCCCCAGCACAGCTCTGTGAGGCTGGCAAGGCTCCCTCACCTGGGGTTTCCAACCCCCCAGGTGCCATCCGATTGAATCTTCCCAGCAAGCCTTTGAGCCACATGGTGACTTTAAATTCTCTGGTAACTGCCTTAAAAAAAGCAAGAGATGAAATTAATTTCAATAATGTGTTTGACCCAATATATCCATAATGTCATTTCAACTTGTAAATCACATGAAAATTACTTGTAAGATATTTTACGTTCTGGGTTTGGGGGTTTTGGTAGTGTTAGAAATCGGTGAGGTTTTACGCTTACCTCCCAGCTGGGACTGGCCACGTCCCAGGTGCTCAGACAGCCACGTGGGGCCAGTGGTCACCAAACGGGCAGCATGAGTTTGAGAAGCAGGTTCTGCGGCTATTCTGGTTTTACAGGTGAGGAAATTGAGGCTCAGAGAGGCCGTGGTTGTGCCCAAGGTCGTGCGTCTCTGGAAGCCCCTGCCCAGAGCCCGCACGGGATCTTGGCTCTGTCCTGGGAGGGGCCGCCCTAGGGGAGCTGTCCTGGCCCCTTTGATTTGGGATCAGCCCTGAGCCCCCCTGCAGCCCTGAGAGTGGCCCCCAGTGCTCTCCCGCCCAGGGTGGGCCCAGGGCTGATGCCCCCTCTCCAATTGACCGGTGGGGCCCCTGCTGCCATGTGCACTAGGGGCAAAAAGAACGGCCCCCTCTGGGGAGGGGCAAAGCTCTGGATCAGGCCAGCAGCCTGGCAGGTCCAGGGCGGTGCTCGCGGGGCCGCGCTCGCCTGTTCCCAGCACCTCCCACCAGGTGGCAGCCTCGGTCCAGGCGCCAACCTGCTGGGGGCTGGGCGGGGTCTCCACTGGGGTCTCCACTCTGGGTCTGCGCGTGGGGGGCCCTTCCACAGGGGTGTCTGTGCCTGGGGCTGCTGGTCAAAGCTCCTGGGCAGGTCCACAGCTGCAGTGATGGGCCGGGGCCCTCGGAGCGGCAGAGCCTCTGTTGGGGGTTCACGCCCAGCCCCGAAGCTCTAGACGCGCTGCCGCGGGCACAGGAAGCTCAGAGCCTGGGCGCTGAACCAGGACGGCCCGAGGGGGTCAGCGGCCCCACGGGGGGCTGGGGATCCGTCTCCGTCTTCACAGTGGATGTCCCTGAGCCCCCCATACCCAGAGCAGGAGGCTGGCAGGGGCTGGCCTCCCCTAGGCCCCGCCGTCCACCAGGCAGGGATGGGCCCGTCCTGGACCCGGTCAGCTCTGCCACTCAGTCACCATCCCTTCAACCCCGGGTCCTGGAGGTGTCCTCCTGTGTTCTCTTCTGGAAGTTTTATCTTTTATGTTGAACCCGTGCTCCGCTTGGAGATCTTCGCTGTGAGCCGCGGTGTTTAGATGAGGGTCGCTGTTTGCCTGTGGGGTCCCATCGCCCCGGCGAAGTGCTTTTCTCGGCTCGCCCCTCTCTTCCATCGTCCACCCCACCACCTGTCCCCACCTCACGGACTGGTGCCCGCTGCCCTCTGATAAGGCTGGACATTGGGTAGAGCGGCTTCTCTCACTTTTTTCTTCAAGTTGTTTTAACTGTTCAAGTCCCTTTGCCCATAAACGTTAGCATCATCCCGTCCGCGTCCCCGGGAGGTGTTGCTGGGACTTTTAGGCGTCGCATCGCGTCTGTACGTCAGGTTGGGGGAACTGGCATCTTCACTGACCCGTGGACGTGGCCTGTCTCTCCACGTATTTTGTTAGATTTATACTATGTAGGAATGTCTTTCTTTCTTTCTTTTTTTGTTTGAGTGACTATTTTTTTTTTTAATTCTCACCCAGCGATATTTTTTCCATTGATTTTTTAGAGAGTGGAAGGGAGGGGGGGGAGAGAGAGAAACATCGATGTGAGAGACTCATCAATTGGTTGCCTCCCGCACGCACCCCAGCCAGGGGCAGGAAGGGAAGTCAGCATCCAGGCACGTGCCCTGACCGAGTCGAACCCGCCGCCCTTGGGTGTGCAGGCTGCCACTCTGCCCGCTGAACCGCACCAGCCAGGGCTGCGGCTGTCGCCTTAGTGAGTCCTGTTTGTTGTGTGCTCTGGGTCCGACCTGTATCAGACACGGCTCCGCAGTGTTTGCTCCCAGTTCACGGCCGGCCTTACTCACGCTGAGCCCCAGTTTATCATTTTTCTACGGGCTGTGCTTTCTGTGCCATGTTTACCCCGAGGTCACAGAGGCGTCCTCGGGGCTCCCGCAGAAGCTTCCTGGTTTCAGCTCTTACGTGGAGATCGCCGAAGCGTTTTAAGTTAACCTTAGTGTAGGGGTGAGGTTTAGTATTCGTGCGGGTTTTTCTTGTTTGTTTGTTTTAAATATGTTTTTGTTGGTTTTAGAGAGAGAGGAAGGGAGAGGGAGAGAGAAACACGGATCGGCCGCCTCCTGCTCCCCCCTGCTGGGGACCGAGCCCGCAGCCCGGCACGTGCCCTGACCCCGAATCGAGCCGCAACCTCCTGGCTCATAAGTCGATGCTCAACCGCTGAGCCACCCCAGCCGGGCTTGTTTGCGTGTTTTTGCAGCACCCAGTTGTTGAAAGGCTGCCCCTTCTCCATTGACTGGTCCTGGGCTTCTGTGGAAAGTCAATGGACCACGAGCACAGGGACGATTTCCAGATTCTCGGCGCTGCCCCGTGGGTCACTGTGCCCACCCCGTGCCACCTGCCCCGCCCATTGTCGCTGCCGCCTTACGGGGAGCTTAGAAGTGGGGCCCTGTCCGTGCTCTGCCCGTGTTCTCCTTCAGGATGGCGCTGCTGACCCCAGGTCCTCTCCTCTTTGCGGATCCGCGTCACCACCTCGCACTTCTTTCAGTGTTTATTGAAGACAGTCTGTTAGCAGCAGATTTTCTTGGACTTTTTCAACCTGGAGATGCCTTATTTTACTCTCGTGTTCGAGCGGTGGCTTCGCTGGGCCCTGGGGTGGCCTTGTTTTCCTGCAGGCCCCTGAAGCTGTCATCCGCCGGCTTCGCATGTTCCCGATAGGAAGCCAGCCGCTAACCAGCCCTGAGGTCCCCGCACGTGTGAACGCTGTTTCTCTCTCTCGCTGTTTTCATAATTTTCTGTTTTTTTTTAAAAAAAATTCTCACCCAAGGAATGAGGACATTTTTCCCATTGATTTTTTAGAGAGAGTGTGTGTGTGGGGAAGACGGGGGGGGGGGCATCGATGTGACAAAGACACACCTACTGGTTGCCTCCTGCATGCACCCTGACTGGGCGCGGGGATTGGACCTGCAAACAAGGCAGGTGCCCTTGACCTGGAATTGAACCCTCAACCCGCTGGTGCACAGGCTGAGCTCTAACCATGAGCAACACTGGCCAGGGCTCCTCTGGGTTCGAGCGTAACTGTGTGGTGGCCACAGGCCAGCGGGTGCAGGCAATAGAACTGCCCTGGCACCTTCATTCGTGACCCAGCAGGTGATGCCGAATGGCCTGTCCTTGGCTGGTTTGTGCAGCAAGAAGGGTCCAGCCAGAAGCCCCTCCAGGTCCTTCAGCCTCTGAGACGGAGGGCAGAGCCCAGGGGCACCTGCACCCCAAGACCACACTGCACAGGGGAGGGACAGGCCTCCGAAGAGAAGCTGGTGTGTGCTGGACA